CTGAGTTATATTTTGTATGTTTTGTGATATTGTGTTTGTATGAATTATGAAAGACAAGGAGGGAGACAAGATGAAAGAGGGACCCGAGCCTGGGTTCATGGAGAAGATTAAAAGGGTCCTGCCACTGGCAGAGTCCACCATCGCTAATACCTTTCTGGTGGGTTACTTTCTATTTTACACATCTATAGATCTAATGAAACACAAGGAAAGTTAAATTTATTCACCTAACCAGTGAGAGCCACCGTAAATCACTGTCCTCAGTATCTCGTGCTACATTGATCCTGATCCTAGAGAGTGTAATGTTTAAAGTAAAGAATACCTTTTTTGTGGGTCATTTCCATTTTACACTGATATATTATCGTAACCAAATCAAACACAAGGAAAGTTTTATTTCTCGATTAAACCAGAGCTATAAAACCCGCTATGTAATCCACGGTCCACCGTGAACACTTTAGCACTTTCTTTTGTCTCTTGAGCCACATTGTTCTTCATCTTTCCCCTGGTGAGGTGAATGTGCGTGTTTCATACCACCTTGCTCATTATGTGACATGTATGCATAAGGGCTTTTAGCATACTACACGAGTGTAGATTCTGTAGAAGACGGTTTGATTAATAAACTCCGTGATCATACGATTTGGGGTAGGTGAGCATTTCTGCTTTCGACCGCCAACCTCTTTTATATGCAGTAGTATACACAGTTTAAGCGTAAACTCAATCGAGCTATTTGTCTATACTTGAGGGTCGTGTTGTCAGCTCTGTACTTTAGAAATACTGGTCTCAGACTTGTTGGTATTTTCTATCCTAACGGAGAAAGTTACTGTGAAAAGGAAGCCTGTAGATAGCTAAACGAATTGTGACGCTGCGGACCAAAGATAAAAGTAAGCTGCTCAAGTTCTCACAGTCTATTTTATTAACGATGCTTGTTATTACCTATACGTATTTGAACCTGTATTCAATTATGTGCTAGACATACTTTGAAATGTTACGGAGTGGAGTTATTTTAAGAAAATCGGTTTGCAAATTTGTTGCTAAGTTAGAGTTCGTATTCTCTTGGACGAATAGCCTGAGCATCATTGATATTAGACATTATCAGGTCTCAAAAGCTAGAGACTCTGTTCATAGTGTTATCTAATCAGTCACTTATTCTCGCACTGCAATGATAAATATAATAACTTTTATAGTGCTGCAGACAATTTTGGTAACCACACGGTAACGTAACTCAATGTATCAGTTGTCTTTGTTTAAAAAGAGAGATTTGAAGAAAGGTAATCCAGGAAGTGCTACTATTTTATTTCCTCTCTTATCTTAACGATTAGATAAACAGTTAACAAGTTTCGAAATGACTATTATACACACAGTTTCTTATCTAAACATTAACCCCAATTCAGTAATTAATATTTTATTCTGAAATTATTTTAAAAACTTCCATCTCAATCTGCAACGAACTCTATTGCTCGCACACAGATTCTGTAGTTCTCGAGTTTCGAATAGATTTGTAATGATCCAACATTTGTAAGAAACCTCCTTTCCGTCCAAGCCCACAGTTATCAGCGATTCAAAAAAGCCGAGACATTCTGACTACAATTTTATCACCTTTTTACATTAATCTCTATACTAATTATTATCTCCAGATATTTCAAACCGGTTTATCTTTCAATGCTTCTTAAATATTACATTTAGTGGTCTAAGAGAGCTATTATAACAGCCTGTGTATCTTGTCCAGTATATAGTCTGATTAGCATTTACCTTATCGTGTGACACCACAGTGAACTAGTGAAGCAATCACGCAGTTAATGATCTTATACCCGAGTATAATAGTGATGATCACAGTGAGCGACCATCTAGACTATCGGGCTCCATCAGAGATCAGATCACCCAATGATGTGATCCATGGATTTCAGTTCAATGACTCTTTTGAACATTGGAAACTGTAGATTTATTTCCAAACGCTATTATTGTTTCTACTTGCCCAAAGCCCTTGTTGAATAATTTTATATCAGAGGAGACTTGAGGAATCACTCAAAACGTACGTCAGGTAGTGGATAAACAATCAGCAATTATATGACAAATTCTTTAAATACCAACAGTTGCTAGACTTCCATAGACCGTACCCTTTTGAAGATCACTCCCCTCAGCGCCAGTTAGCATTTGATGAATTATTTTTTGTTATTGTACATTTTATATGGGACCAGTGCAGAGTAAGACACATGTAAATTTCAAGGTAGATTATTTTTCGAGTTGCAAAGATTTGAAAGTAACCTTGTAACACGGTTTAGATTTGGATATGGCATTATTACTTTATATTACTTTATTATGAAGCGGAAAATTGCTCAGTCCCCAGAAAAACCTGAAAAGTGTTGTGATTTTTAGATGGTTTGCCTAAGCTATCCTATTCCTACCAACAAAGTCCACTCGATTGAAGATCTCCAAGAGCTCCAATAATTATGTCAAATTATTCACTAATAACTGTTGATTAATTGATCAACACAAATTAGTATTGATTAGCCTGTTAAATCACACTCTTAATTTCACGTGTTATATCGGCTATCATGGTTACATCAGATCCTCGTAATGATCTGAACCACCTCCACAATCTCCTGCGTAGACTGACGTGACAATTATTATAAGGGCTAATTGATTAAACTAACAGGTTTAATGAGCAGATAATTAGCCACTAATTGGATCGTAATTGGTGTGTCTGTCCGGGGTGTTGCTTGTTAGGCGTCCTGTAATGGTTTCTTCTCTGTTATTACCTTCTCGTCACAGCTCTTGTGCAGTTGTGCTGTGAGGAGTGATATCTAGTTTTATAATGTTACATTTGCTGCTCTGCACTGGGCTCTGCAGACAATGAGCAATATGTTAGCTGCTCTTTAGAACTACAATCTAAATGCAAATGGATGGCCAATCTAAATGCAGATGAGTAGGCCTGCGCCCTGGAATCTGGATAGCGTCTCCTGCTAACGGACCCGTACTTACTGTTGGGGTTGTGGCTCATGTACCGGATAACATTGAATCACACCCGTACGATCGTTATTGAATAACTTATGGCTTTTGGTTACAGTCACTGATCATGTAAGGATAGCTATTAGCTGTCACCTTATCGCTACACTTGTTACAATTTACTTGTACGGCTAGAGTTAAGTGCAGTACCAAGTAGAGGTTTAGTAGATACTGTCGGTGAGGTGTATTCTATTTGACACGTGGTATTGATTAACCAATCAGCTTCTACCGTCTACCAATCAAACCCAGAATTGCTGTCATGTGTCAAAACAAATACGGCCCACCTCCCCCAGCACTCAGCAGTGACCAGATCTAGTGGATGTTAAACTCGACTGAGGTTACTGATCATGAAGGCGTTCTAACAGCAGACTATTCTGTCTATTTATAAAGCTTTCTGTCAATTATCTCTGCATTGGACAGTAGAAAGGAAACCACAAAAAGTGATACGAAGCAGACTATTTTGTGGAGGAGTGAAGTGTGAAGGGTGTATTCAGATGGAAATTGTTCGAATATGATTAGTTATAACGGTTATGTGTATGACTTCGTTTGTGATCGGGGTTTTTAGATCATCTAGAATCAATAGTTATTATTGTCGTTTGTATTGGACGTTTTTCTCTTTTTATAAGTATATACCTGACGACATGATCTACTGCATTAAAATCATACCGCGGAAAAGGTTGACAGTTGAATTTAAAAATGTTTTTCTCCACTTTATGGACGTTTTCCACCCTCAAAGTTAACAACTTGTGGCGCTGTTCGCATAAAACGCACGGCGGCACGCGCAGGACAACGTCCTCCAAGTCACCGCACCCACCCGGGAAAGTTTAAGAGATTGAGGAGCTTCTGGACAGTCATCCTTCTGTAGAAATCGCTTACGGATCATGGCGCCTACACTGTAGTTCTTGTACCTAGATATATCTCTCAAAGTTCTATGATGAACTCACCCACATACTCCACCCTCTCACGGTGAAATCTTACAAAATACAAGTAACTGGGTTACTTAGTAACTGGGTTACTTAGTAACCCTGATTTAACTTCACCTACAACTTCTTCACTCAGCTTCGCTGCCTTCCAGATAATAATAGTAACTCCACTAATAACGTCACAATTCATTGCTTATGGTATTATTTGTGTGTACTGTGTGGCAGTGTGTACTGTGTGTATTGTGTGTACTGTATGTATTGTATGTACTGTGTGTATTGTGTGTACTGTATGTACTGTGAACTGTGTGGCAGTGTGTACTGTGTGTACTGTATGTATTGTATGTACTGTGTGTATTGTGTGTACTGTATGTACTGTGAACTGTGTGGCAGTGTATTTCTATATCTTCAGCTCTATGACAGAACTATGATAACGTTACCTTATTTGCATATATCACACTGCTTGATAAAAGTAAGCTAATTAATGGCAGTGTTATCTTTTAACAGTTCCTTTAGTTTGCTATTCCTCTTAGTTATCTTTAACCTCCGAGAGAGTTAGTAAGATCTAAATATTACCGTCTGATAGTGTGAGAGATGGTGCATTACCTCCCCCCGAGGAGAGGGCTGGCTCCTGCCCCCTTTTCTCATCCCGACTACTGTGATCAGACTGAACAGGATGTAAGAAATATTAAAATCTTAAAACATGTTTAAATATGCACTATGTTTGAATGATATGCTCTATATTCGAGTGATATGCACTATGTACTTATGTAGTGCAGTGAATATTAAGGATCTATCATACGAGTGAACTTGATGTTAACGTCTTATCATTATCAATATTATTTGCTGTTTGCCTTAATCATCAAGATTTCTGTAGAAATCTATTCAATGCCAACAGATAGCGCCATTAAATAAAGGGCGCTACTTCAAAGACCAGAAGAAGCCATTTTGCCGCGGATGCTATATTTACAAATTTATTGTTTCGCCAGCAAAAGGATGGTGCTCCAGTTTTATTTACCAACCCATTAATCACACATTTATCCATTATAATATCAGTTAATTGACAATTAATAATTGCAGGTGTTGCGTGCAATGAGCACGGTGAACGGTTTAAAAGACACCCACAAGTTCCTGGATGTCAGGAATCTAGTGGGATGGTGCTGTAGGAACAGTAAATATGGAAACGTGGGCAAACCTCCACCCCCCTTTAACATCAACACCAACGCAGGTAAATAATCACCGTCAAAGCAAACTCACTTTAAATAGTAACAGTTAAGGTTAATGTAGACTGGTTTTATGTCGTCAAGGCTAAATATACACCGGTTTATGCCGTGGCGACTCCTTTTCTATAAATAGAATCAAGTTCGGACAGTGTTTTTGGAGTGACTATTTAGTTAAAACAAACTGTTTAGAACCGTTGCTATAATTAAAATGTGAACTTGTCGCCGCTATAAAAAGTATAAGTATTTCCCTGTTTGATTCTGCGATGCGCCGGAATTTAAATATAATGGTTTTCGCTGAAATCTGAACCTATTTTCTATTATCGGACCCGGGTGATGTAGATTAATACTCTATCTAACTACTGAATAGTAACCACTGGTTCCCTGCAGCGTGTGAGTCACTACACTACCCCTATCTGTGTCACAGAATAGCCAGCTCCCAGGAGGACGGGATCACAGTACTCATCTTCATAGTACAGCAACTAGCCAGGGTACGTACAAGTAAGACCAGGGTGTGTACAAGTAGGGCCAGGGTGGGTACAACCAGGACCAGGGTGGGTATGTTTGTAGGAAATCTTTCACGGTGTGTAGCCCGGCTTATCCTCCTTCGTCTTGCCATACTGGCAGTTCCCATAGTTGAGTAAATGATATCTGCATTACATCTAGCAGGTATGTAGATATGAGGGTGTGTAGTATGAGTATAGAGATGTACAACTCTATTGCGTAATAATCTAATAGCACGTGCACCCTTGTGTTAGATCTGCACGCTATACCATGGTATACAGTGTGTACTGTAGACTGTGAAACCTAAGATAGTCAGGTTACATATTTCAATGGGCTATTCCTCTTTACTCTAGTAGTAAAGTAGATAGTTCTTATCTATACCCCGTCTTTCCGGCAGACATTCTTTAACTTTTGGGGTTTTTTGTTATCAGAAATATGTGATGTCCGACGTCCGTGCATATTATTGAGGGATATTTCATGTTTTCTACCATAAAAGTAGCAGCTAACACATGCACATTAACACCCATTTGTTGACTTCATTATTATTATATGACGATATAATATAAAATCCACGTACATGATGTAACGATGAAGCCAGCAGTTGAAGTAAATGCCCACTAATCCTATCTCTGTTCAGGTCGATGATCCAGCAGTGGTTTCTTCTTTAATCAGTATTTTCACTGACGCACTAGCCCTCGTACCTCACGTGCCAGAATCTCTCCTCTCCTCAGCTTACAACGCTGTTCTAGGTAAGTTATGTGTTTTATCTACAAGAAGATAGAGTCGTATTTGTGAGCAACTACCTTGTGCTGGGACTCTAAAGTTGACGTTTCACTTTGATCATGTTTGACGGCAATCTAAACACATGTACCCAACTAAATGATTGATTTACGAGAGCTGGGCTGACTGGCCATGGGAGGCCTTATATATATACCACATCGGTTCATCATCTATTCGGTCATTACCATAGTTGTTCATTTCGTGTACTCTTTTCCAAGAGAGAGGATGTAAATCTAACTAAAAGTCACATTTGATCTGCAGGGTTCGTGTTGTGGCCAGCTCCGCACAGTCAGATGGCTCTGCACCTGCTAGACTTGCTGTTTGTTGAGATGAGGGTGCCTGGCACTGCTTTCAGGGAACATCTCCTGGCCAGCAATCATCTGTCTCTAAAGAGGTGAGGAAATACAGTGGGACTTGTTTTTACTAAACTCTTGTTATTTAGTGTGAAATTGTTGGAAATTAAATCAATAGTTTAACCTATCACTTGTGAAAAATATATAAAACTCGAAGGAATTTCCGGACTGTTAAACTTAATGTGAAGCGTTTGTAAATTTAGTTAAGGGCAAAATTTGTCACTCGAGAAACTTAAAAACCGTGGATCTATCAAAGTATATTAACAATGTCCAGGAAAACCGACCATTCCACGTGGAAATGTCATAGACGTTACACAGAACTCCGCGTGGAATATTCGGGTTTCTTGGACAATACAAAATATTAAACTAAATTTGACCCCTCTCCGCCAGGAACGAGCACGTATATTTTACCCTGGACACCTCCGTGGATAACTCGTGTCAGTTCCACGAACAGATCCAGTTAGCAGCCCCCGTTAATCAGGAACAGGTTCTGCGCGCTTTTCTCGTTCACAGCTGCACTGGTCTCGGTCAGAATAAGATCTCTTATCTCAAACAGGCCCTGCAGGTAGGCTTGTGCAAATGTAAAACGTGTTAATTATAATTGAAGCGGTTTTTATTGCATGCATTTTCAGTACTGTACATACTTTCTAGTGTTCTGCAGTTAACTACAATCATGATTTTTATCAGGGGCTAAACTTCGACGATCTAAACCTTGTATCGAGTCTGGTGTACGATATCCAGCAGCAGTTTGCCAGAGAGGAAGACGTGGAATTAGCGAGGAAGACTCTTGATGAGACACTTTTCAGTGTATTTCACCATGTGATCAGTGAGGCGCCTGTCACTAAAGGTGGGACCAAGTTTTAACTTACTCTAAACTTATATAAAATAATCTCCAAGCATCCTACATTAAATTCTGAGTAAATTTTAACTCGATTGTTATTATTGTTAGGCCAGGTTAACTGACTCTCCTTTTACCCTCAGACCTGTACCAAGCTCCCTGTACCTACATGCAGTTCCTAGCATTCGACAGTAGTATCCCTATACACGCTAGTAGAGCCCTCGAGAACATCATCTACAGGTTTGAGCAATACTTTACTCTCATCGTTATTTCCTGGTGTTTTTTAGCGCGAGAGTTTATTTCATTAGCACTCTATCAGTAGCCCTTATTAACACCTCCAGTAACACCACCAGTAACACCCTCATTAACACCTCATCCCCCACAGTGTACGAGACAAAGTCCTCCACACCTCCAGACGTAACAGACCCTACCTAAACCCATGTGACTCTGTAGGCAGTATGCTCTCCTACGAGGTCCAGAGTATGAGCTCATCCTACGCGTTCCTAAACGGACGGTGCAGTCGGAGCGAGAGTAACGCCAGTGAAACTACAGATTTACAGAGCCAAGTATCGGATAATAAGGAGATATCAGCTGATAGCATCTCGGTCCAGATCAGTAACTTGTTGGACGGTTTTCAGGAATTTCTTGAACCAGAAAACGACCTTGAAGACACCATAAACGAAGAAACCATATCCTCCAACCTGATGAAGTTCAAAAGCAACAGAGACAGCGCAGAGAGCGAGGTAAATACCCCAATTCCCAATATTTCAAACCTTACATTTCTCTCCGCAAACACTCCTTTGAAGTGAGATAATCAGGACGACTCATTGTTTCAGGACACAGGGTTCGGTAGTTCTCTAGATCTGGATGCTCTGTCTGAGAGGGAGGAGACGCCTGTCCTGTCGCCTAGCCTCATCTCCGATATTGATGCTGAGGATCTCATGAGAAAAGTTTGTTGAATATTCAAAATTGTAATATTTTCTTCTTCATTAAATGCTTTTGTAGACTAGCGCTTCCATAAAAATTGTGATTTACATTCTCAAACAAACACTAACCGACCTCACTTTCAGCAGCAGCAGTTCTCCATGTTCCACTCCCGGTCCTCTCTCTCCAGCTCCAAGTCCTCCAGCTCCGTATACTCCACCCCCTCCACAAAACGCCCCACCAGCTGGACGGGAGACGACCGGGTCCTCACCGTCTCTCAGCTCGTCTGTAACTGGGTCCAGGCCAACAAAACCTCCTTCAACTCCGACCAGGAGCAGGAGAATCTGTGTCTCAGATGTGGCAAACCTCACGACAAGGTTAAAATCGCACTTGTTGGGAGTGATCGAACTGTTGCTGCCATGGCTACGTCCTACAGCGAAATGTTGTCCCAGTCAACCAAAAAATGCGGGAAATTAGACCTAGAGTTTTATTATGTTCCACTAAGGACACACACGGTGCCTCACAAAAACATAGAAATCAGTCAGTACAAGATCTACATAAAATCAGAGTACAATCTCTCAGACTACCTCTGTCACATGGACCCCATGTACGCTCAGCGTCTATTTTACCCCGTACACACTGTCCTCCGAATCCTGCCCTCCATCAAACCCTGCCCGGACTCCCAGGAATTTGAGAAGACAACCAAGGACCCGGCTCTCATCCTGCGGAGTAGTATAAACAGTTACCTGCTCCACGCCCATACCCCTTACCATTTGTCAGTGTATAGGGTGGAGTTGTGGAAGAATGAAGTGAGTTACACTGCTCTGACTATGACGCAGTGGTTGGAGGTAGGGTTCCCTGCTTCTGTTCATGATCTTCCTGCCATCCTCGCCCAGAAGAAAAGTAAGGAAAACTCATAGAAATTAAATTTAAATTGATTTTTGTTCAATAACGAGGTTTTTTGTTCAATTAAACGAGATTTTTGGTGATAATGTGAGGATTTAGAATTGCAGATAAGAGAAATTATTGGTGTTATCGTTTCAGAGCGAAGGAAATCTGTCAAGACAAAAGATTTGAAGCTTTCCTCAGCAGACCTTTCGTTTGTACCACCAGAATTGCACCTCAAGTTGGAACTGGTAAGAGAAGAAAACATTAAATTAACCCATCTTTATTCTATTTTTCGCTTTCTATTTCACTTCCAGTTAATCACATTCCTCATAATATCACCATTTGAACAACAAACCACCCTCAGCAGTCTGGCGGTTGTTCGAGTCCACTTCCAACTGGAGGTACCTACTGGTCGATAGTGGCTGCTAACGTACCCCGACCTGACCTCACCAACCGGCCCCCTGACCCTCAGTCAAGCTCACTTAGTCTCACTGTTATTGAGGCTATCAGCAAGAGCAAAAACAAGGTATGTTGTCTCTTTTCCTTCCTGTATCATGTTGATTCTTACTGAACACGTGGTGCCCTTATATGGTCATGTTGTCACGTGTCATTGATTGGTGTGATCAATTATCAGTTTTTCATACAGATTCTTCCATGAGCCACTTGTTCTATTGCTGTAAATCATTCTCGCAGGGTATGGAATTCCTCCCATCAGAAGAGATTAAAGAGTACCAGATTGCAAGCATGAACATAGAGTCAGAGTCTACCTTCGATATCGTCATAGACCATTACAAGTACACCCATATTAAAAAGTAAGTAACAAAATATATAAAATACGGTTTTTTATTTCGACTCCCTCCCTTCCGTTTTTAAAATGACTACTTTCTGTAAATTTTAACCAAAACTATAGAACATGTCGTCAGTCGTGCTTGGTGAATGGTTACCCCGATGGCGAATAATGTTAAAATTATACAACTTTAACCCATATACCTTCTTCAGAGTCCACATAACACCCTGGCACTCCGTCCAAAACTCAGAACCTACAAACATTGTCTTCCCCCTCAGAATATGGTCGGCTGTAGACCACTGACACAGACTTTAAGATCTGTGTCGTGACAAGTGTGTCATGATAGGGTCCCCCCTTTAATCGAACATTGAGACTCGCCCAAAACGTACGAATTTCAGTGACTGCCAGTGGGCAGTTTAGAATGTTTTAGTGGCCATGAACATTGAGTACTTGTGTGAAAAATGTTTGAAAAGATCATCGTCCTCTATATTTGGAGTTTATCGTGAAGAATAGAGTGGAAATTCGAATGGCCATACTTATATTAAAACTGGTATTAATTGATTATCGGTTAATCGATCCTGAGATCAGTGGCCTGGCAGTTTTATTAAGAGAAATTCGTTGACTGATTTAAGGGATTGTCAAATGTAGCTGAGAATATCAAACTGAGAATGTGCAACCAACTCATTGATAAACAGATGGAATAATATAGATTGTGATTTTTTGTGTCGTTACTTTTCAAATGATGCTGCTAGATTTTTTATTGGCGTTTACATCTACCATCGTGATACTGATAGCATCTTCTTAGCTTAATTTTTAATAAGAAGAGATCTGAGATTGTTAAGATATATGTTGATTTGATGACTTTGAATGATGTAATTTTGCTAAAATTTGTTATACTTCCTATATTGATATAATTGCTTTGAACAAGAACACTCGAACGTTTTACTTTGTGAAGAATCTCCTTTAAATTCAAAACAGAATATGTCTAATCTCGCACATGACTCACTTTATCATTCGTATAATGTATAATCTGATTTATACTACACCACCTCTTCGACAAATTTACTGAAACATGAACAGCTACCTACTTTAAATAAATGAACAAGAAACATGAACAGCTACCTCCTTTTAATAAATGAACAAGAAACATTGTTTTTCAGCTTTGTCCTCTGTTTGTTTACGTTAACAATAACTTTAAGATTTCATGTTTGAGCAAGATTGGAGATGACCTGACCAGGCGTCGCGAGTTTCTAGTCTGTGAACTATTTGCTAGTCTTTCAGAATTCAGAACATAAACCTATAGAAGCTTTGTTTCATCATATTATCAGATGATCTGCTGATATGAATCTTAATAAAGGCCAAAGCACCATGGATAACTGGTAGTGCTGCCAGTCTCTGTTCAGTTTATTTTTCGTCTATTCATGGGAAGAAGATATACTGAGGCGAGATGGAACAACCTACTGACGTACCTCTCTTTTTAAAAGTCATAGCGTAGCCAACATTTAGCTATATTGTATGTTTTTTGTGTGTGTAATTATTACGTGAACTTGTAGAAGGCCGGCAACCAATCATAAACAACAGAAATACGACGAAATAATAATTATTTAAGATGTAATGTTTGTATGGTACAAAAATATGTCAATATCGTTTAAATAACTTTTGGTGACTTAAATATTTCTCTTGTAAAACAGTTACGTATTTACAGCAATGTCATATTGTTATAATAATAGTATAAAATTTATTAGTATACTTATAATAGATCGAATTACCAGTAACGAATAATCGAGCTCAATCTCCAATCTCATCAACTTCAAGTTAATAAGGAACAGCCGCAATAAACCAGTTGATTTGAGCAAACTTCAACATTCTCAGTATAAAAGTTATAAAATAACAGTATTGAAATTCTTGCTCTTAAATATGTAAAAAGTAGAAATAATGGTACAAGACGCGTATACTTTAAACGTGCACTCGTATACAAATAATTTATCTGAAATATTACCAATATTAAAAATGCTGCTTAAGCTGCCTACAAATTCCCTTCAGAAGACTAACAAATCTTAGACACGCATCACTCTTTTATCTTACATACGTACAAAGGTACAATGAGCATGAAACGACGTCAATTCACTTGCAACCCTTTCTTGAGTACTATACAATCGTTAATTTTGTTAAGTTAAGACAAGTACATTTATAATGGCTGTGTCAACTGGCTGTGAGTCCGTTCAGTATAAACAACTCTGTGATTTTCAGTCTGTTAAATTTGTTATCTTATTCAATATGTTTAATAGGAAAGTTCATTCAACAGTGGTAACATAGTTGGCGGGAAATATTCCCGTTTTCCCGTTTGAACTCCCCCTCCACCAGTTTGGATCACTGTCTTCAAGAATGTGCACCTCTTGACCTTTCTTCAGCATCAGTTCACCCCCCTCCTCTGGACTGAAGTCAAATAACACTTTACACCGTTTTATCTGAAAGTTTTTCAGTATCGATAATAAATCTTAGACCAATGTAAAATGTAATGCTATGAGAATTCGATAGGGATCAGGGATTTTATGGAAATTCGGTTTCTAACATATGACATATACGGTGTGTTGTCAGTTTTACGTTTACAACTGACAAATGAACATACATTGTTTAGTGGAATTTTAAGCCCGTCATCTGACCAGAAAAGTGTAAATACGGAGGTAGGCTTATTAAAGGAAGTCGGATCAAGATGCGACCATGTAATTTAATATTTAAATAGGAATTTAATAAATTATTGGTATATCGAACGCGCGCGCTGTCTTGCTGCGCGTTACAAGACACATGTTTGCGCACTTGTATCAACCTTTTACAGCTTCGCGCTTTCCGTTAAGCAAATTAACAAAGCGACTTATTTTACAGTTTGCTCCAGTTTGGTTATTTCACTCGTTTGTACCGAGTAAATTTACAGCAGCATTTATTATATCAGCATTCCATTACTGGAATATCAGTAATATTTTATTACAGATTGCTTCGCCGTAAACGAAAATTAAAAACATTTCATCATTAAATAGAAAATCTTTAAAATGCTCGAACAACTCACTCTGTGAGGTGGATCTTTAAGGAAAAGCGGGGACTTGGTCGTTATGGAATGTGCCTTGTAGTAATCAACGAGAGCATCCAGTGATTTAAACTTCTTTAACCTGATAATTAGATTGGTAATGGATTACACAGTATTGCAGGGTCGTCCTCTAGTCTGTGAGGTGATGTCAGGAAGGTATGTAAAGTGGTATCAGGAAGGAACATAAAATATAATTATTATTATGTAATTATGTAACGGTAGAAGGAAGAATTGTAGAAGGAAGAAAAATTTTGAATATTTATTTTCTTAATGTGCTCATATTTCTTGGATGGAGTCTCAAATGGTGCCACCTATAATAGGTATTTGACATGACGTCACAACACTTGACATGACTTCACACAACGTGATATGACGTCACACAGCGTGACATGACGTCACACAACGTGACATGACTTCACACAACGTGACATGACGTCACACAGCGTGACATGACGTCACAACACGTGACATGACGTCACAACACGTGATATGACGTCACAACACGTGATATGACGTCACAACACTTGATATGACGTCACAACACGTGATATGACATCACACCACGTGACATGACGTTACAACACGTGATATGACGTCACAACACGTGATATAGATATGACGTCACGACACGTGATATGACGTCACAACACGTGATATGACGTCACACCATGTGATATGACGTCACACAACGTTACATAACCATATACCACGTGACTAACCAGATGTAATATAGTCCCTCTTTGTCCGGAAGTATTTTGAAGTGTTGTACAATATCTCGGGAGCTTTTCACTGACAGAGAGTATGCTCCTGAAATCATAAATGTGATTTATTGTTTACATCACAACAATCCTGAGATCACTTCTTTAAATTCACTATTCATCCTACAACTCAGATTTAAATATTGAATATAATCGATCAACACCACCATGCTTCCTTCATTCGACACTTATTCAGGTTTCTATCAAGTAGTTACTTCTTAGCAATACTCATTAAATTACTCTCCCAAGCCTAATTAACAGGGAGGAGGCGGGGGAAATGTTGGGGATTGCTAAGTAACTTCTAATTTCAATGTATTTACATAACATTTTCATTCCGTACACTTAAAGAGTTGGTTAGTGTATAACTTTTCTTGTGGTTACTCGTTTATTGCTGGGGGCTACACATAACGCACATAAAACGAATTTAACTTTAATACAAAAAGCAGTAGATTTACAAATCATGATATTATATAGGGCTAATTGTTACAGTAAGACACAAACAATGTGCGCTTTTTGTGGTGTACGATTAGGGGGGTTTAAAGATTTCCGGTAACGTTTGTAGAGGTAACCTTGGTTACTAGGTGAGCAGTTACCACGGCTGTGGAATGTGGTTACTAGGTGAGCAGCTACCACGGCTGTGGAATGTGGTTACTAGGTGAGCAGCTACCACGGTTGTGTTTGTGGTTACGAAGGAACGGCCCTTCCTTTTTAGCAAAGGGCAGAAACTTTACAAGCTTTACAAAATTTTGCGCTGAGATGTTTACTGGTTAATTCAAACATTTCATCAATGAACAATTGTGATTGAACATTCTAGATGATTAAATAATTGTCCCTTCATCGGAGGAATGTTACAACTTTACATATTACACTTTTAAGATTAGTAACATTTAAATTATTATGAACTGTAGAGATTCACATACTCAACACTGAGTTTTTTGCAAAGTCCGACTTGAACTGTAGATAACTCCGTATTTGAAAACTCATCGTCTAAGAATTTTTGATTCCATTCAAAGTAAAATTACTGACCAGTTTATAATGTGGTCGACATTTTCCAGAGCCATATCGATTGTTGATTAAAAAATCTGGTAGAATAATTTTGGAGAATTAGTAGATTCCTCTACTGGATCATCGAATAGTTGGACCGCCTAGTATGTAAGCATGGTGGTATGTAAGCATGGTGGTATGTAAGTATGGTGGTATGTAAGTATGGTGGTATGTAAGTGGTATGTAAGTGGTATGTAAGCATGGTGGTATGTAAGCATGGTGGTATGTAAGTGGTATGTAAGTGGTATGTAAGTATGGTGGTATGTAAGTATGGTGGTATGTAAGTATGGTGGTATGTAAGTATGGTGGTATGTAAGTGGTATGTAAGTGGTATGTAAGTGGTATGTAAGTATGGTGGTATGTAAGTATGGTGGTATGTAAGTATGGTGGTATGTAAGTATGGTGGTATTTAAGTGGTATGTAAGTGGTATGTAAGTATGGTGGTATGTAAGCATGGTGGTATGTAAGTATGGTGGTATGTAAGTATGGTGGAATGTAAGTATAGTGGTATGTAAGTGGTATGTAAGTGGTATGTAAGTGGTATGTAAGTATGGTGGTATGTAAGTATGGTGGTATGTAAGTATGGTGGTATGTAAGTATGGTGGTATGTAAGTATGGTGGTATGTAAGTCTCTTATGATCCGACTCAGAAACCCTGTAAAACCATCTTATTCAGTTATTCAAAGTTCAACACACTTTGTAACTATCTGTGTTCTTGTTGGATCGTAGTGCAACCCTCTGTATTCTGTGTGCAATAACCAGAAAAGCACGTGCTTTTTGGTGGCGATGAGCAGAAGGAAGCAGGGTAACAAAGAAGTGGGCGTTTCAATGGGACTACTGATACGACTAATCGGACAAAGAAGTTTTAAAATAGCTCGTCAAAAAAGCCAGGAAATAAAATGGCAGGAAAACAGAACAAGAACTTTGGAGTTTCTTTACAACTCAGACCTACCAGGTAACTCAGACTTATATATTATCTGTAAATAATTAACGAGAAGAAAGCACGTGTGTCATGACGATGTTGTGCTGAACAGACCTTGATCAATGCTGTGGGACACGTGACTACTAGTGTGGGACTAGTGATATGGGTGATTGGACAAAGGATTTTTAAATATAGTGCAAATATTTTGAAAAACTCGTCAAATGCGTCTATTCTGGAAAGGAAAAAACTAGGCAAACTTTTTTAGAATTAAGTGAGACCTTAGTTGTCTATACAATATAATCTATTCTTAAAACTATTCATTTCTATTCCCCATTGGCTAACAGAATTAGTCTTTATAGAATTAGTCTTGAAGTGCATGGGAGCGATACCAATTAACTCAAAACAATAAAAACTAATTAGTAGTTTGCACAATAATTACTGAAGTATAAATAACCATCAGAACTAACCTTGAATCTAATCAAACTTTGAGTTTCTGCTTCGTTTCTAGTAATATTACGCTAAACATGAGGGCTTTTCAACTAACACTTATCGTATTGGGTGCAGTTGTGCTGGCACAGGTAAAGACGATTATATTTTGTCATGTTAATTAACCCATTAATTAATTAATTCAATTAATCTGTAAAGTGTCACCAAAACATGCCTTGTATTAAACAGACAGACTGTAAACACCTGAATGTTATTTAACGCACATTAATGTTATTGCAGGGTGAGGCAGAAGAAGCTTATGGAGGAAATGCTGGTGCTGCAGAAGGAGCTGGTGCTGCAGAAGGAGCTGGTGCTGCAGAAGGAGCTGGTGCTGCAGAAGGAGAAGGTGCCGCAGAAGGAGAAGGTGCCGCAGAAGGAGAAGGTGCCGCAGAAGGAGAAGGTGCCGCAGAAGGAGAAGGTGCCGCAGAAGGAGAAGGTGCCGCAGAAGGAGAAGGTGCAGCAGAAGGAGAAGGTGCCGCAGAAGGAGAAGGTGCAGCAGAAGGAGAAGGTGCCGCAGAAGGAGAAGGTGCCGCAGAAGGAGAAGGTGCCGCAGAAGGAGAAGGTGCTGCAGAAGGAGAAGGTGCAGCAGAAGGAGAAGGTGCAGCAGAAGGAGAAGGTGCCGCAGAAGGAGAAGGTGCCGCAGAAGGAGAAGGTGCCGCAGAAGGAGAAGGTGCCGAAGAAGGAGAAGGAGATTGGTACTGCTATCCAAACTTCTATCAGATACCTTCTAGCTACATATGTGACGGTGATTGTGACTGTGTTTATACCTGCCAGGATGAAATGAATTGCGAAGGTGAGGGTGAGGGTGAGGGTGAGGGTGAGGGTGAGGGTGAGGGTGAGGGTGAGGGTGAGGGTGAGGATGAGGGTGAGGGTGAGGGTGAGGGTGAGGGTGATGGTGAGGGTGAGGGTGATGGTGAGGGTGAGGGTGAGGGTGAGGGTGAGGGTGAGGGTGAGGGTGAGGGTGAGGGTGAGGGTGAGGGTGAGGGTGAGGGTGAGGGTGAGGGTGAGGGTGAGGGTGAGGGTGAGGGTGAGGGTGAGGGTGAGGGTGAGGGTGAGGGTGAGTACGAATGCGACACCGGCGGCTATTTGATACCTTTCAGATCCGTATGTAATGGTATTTGTGACTGTACATATCATTGCGATGATGAACTGCATTGTGAGGAAGATGATGATGGTCTGAAGATCAACATGGGAAGCATTGAATCTTCCTTAAACTTGAAGTTCGCTGGTGGACAGTTCGCGGCCATGACTCTCGACATCATTGGAAGCATATATGAGTGCATGTTCAGATGGGAATGTCCTTGGAATTGAGAGAAATGCATTCCAAAGAAGAAGAGTTCATTGTATTGACCTTTTATAACTTTTAAATATTATTACAAATCTAATTCGTTTAAGTGCGTTTCATGGCTCTGAGATTTGAGATGCTCAAATGAATATCAGCTGTAATGGGATAAATCTTTCATAAAGTCATAAATATCGAAAATGATACACTTGATTAGTCGTGATACACAAAATAGCATATCTTGACCTAAGAAATGAAGAAATGAGCTAGGTGACTCTGAACATATTAAAAACATTTTAAACTTACATTTTTCGATCTACAAATCTAATTTATTATGGTTGTCCGATTTTAGAATCGAATGGGATCTTATAGAATGTCAGAGACATGTAGGTTTTCATCGACTTAAAAAAATTGCATTTAACATTTCTACAGAGAGTCCAAATTGAAAACAAAGCATTTCTATCCATATTTGTAACAATTTTCAGACATCTTTCATTTTTCTGAATAAGCCTGTGGAGTGTATTAACGGGATTATTACATCGTCATGTCGAATAATCTCACAGTGAAACTGTAATTCAACATTAACGAGATAAGATAAATACGCTTTTTGAACTGATTAGCAATCCATCGGTGTTTGTGTTTGTGTTTGTGTTTGTGTTTGTGTTTGTGTTTGTGTTTGTGTTTGTGTTTGTGTCTGTGTCTGTGTCTGTGTCTGTGTCTGTGTCTGTGTCTGTGTCTGTGTCTGTGTCTGTGTCTGTGTCTGTGTCTGTGTCTGTGTCTGTGTCTGTGTCTGTGTTTTCGATTTGAGTAATAAAACACAACAATTGAGATTAATAAGCGTAAAAGATTATACATATTGGTAATTGGTATGTTTATTAATAATCAAATACTGATTCACTTATGTTATATCCATATGCAAGGTTAGCCGATATGTTAGGGTAAAATTATAATGGCTTTCATTATGCCAATCAACTGAAATAACAACACAAGTTATAGATCATTTACCTCAAACGATGAGAAATATTGTTTTAATTCGAGCGAAAAAAAACAACCTAATAATAATAATAAATTGAAGTTTAATAACACCACTATTAAGATAAAACCTAAACTCAGCAGTGTTTAATCTAAACATCCCAGAAAAGTACCTGAATAATAGAAAAGGACTGTAACGTGTGCTTGAAAATTCTAATGACAGAAAATGATACTTATATTTAAAGATCTAACACCAAATATGACCAAAATAAATGATCGATAAAGTTTTTCAAGTTCATGAAGGTACAGTTTAAACTGGAAAGTTTTAAGCATAACTTTAAAAGATTCAAGTGATTGAGCCTATGAAATGGTATCAGGCAGACGATTGTAGATCTTTGGAGCCACCTAGAACAGGTATAAAAAAGGCGTTTATAACATACACTAATTCTCATAAATTTAGTTAGTTCTAGTAACACTAACATAGCAATCTACTCAATCAAATGAAATCAGATATTTAAGATAATGAATAGATTATGCAGTTACAAAGAAAAAGAAGTCTTTAACTGTAATGTTTATATTTCAATTAATTGTCCAAAACGTTCTGAGCAGTTTCTACAATGAGTGCGCAAAATAAGAGAAAGTCAGATCAAGGCAGAAGTCTTTGTCGCTCCGTCCCCCGATGAGCTGTAGGCTGATCTCCGTTGGGAACAATACATCTCACGATGTAAACAGCTACCACTCTGATCCTGGACTTCAGGAATTCCCGAAAACTGGTCAGACTGATTGTGTAGATGTAGAAGTTGGAAAAGATGTTCAGACAAACTATGAACTGTGCAAATCTCTCGAATTCGTAATGAAAACTGGCAGTAGTCTGTGGCTGGGTTCCTGGTAATTCTATTAGGTGAACTGCTAACGGGACAGTTGCTATGGCATAGGCTGCAACAGTGAGAAGCACCGTTCTGACCCCCTGCCACTGGAGTCCCCCTGTTCGTCTATCAGCAACTTTCTTTGCAAGATATAGCAGCATTGCACTGTTAACGATGGTTATTGTTGTAGAAATGAGAGCTATTGCTCCAGCAGCTACTCTAGCGACAGAATAAACTTCAGAATTAAGGCCAAGGGAGTGACATAAATCGCAATTGTAGCTCATGTAGCTGAAGTAAATACCTTTTTCATCAACAATACAAATCACTCCAAAGCAGCACCAGAATGCAAACATCCCCAGTGTTGCCAGATGACCACGTTTCTTTGAGAAATTGACGGCTCTAAATGGATATTTCACAATCATAAACTTGGCAAATGTAAGTGCACTCACAAGAAGAACCCCTGTTCCTGCAAAGATGAGCATCACAATGAATGCTGCAGAACAGAGAAAGTCACCAAAGATCCAATCATTAGCTACAAGTGAAACTGCACCAGGCAGGACTCTGAAAATGGAGCAAACCAAATCAGAGACAGCAATGTACTGGATGAATACCACCATGATCTTGTGAAGCTTTATAGCGTTATACCTCATAGAGCCGATGAGAATGAGGGTGTCTCCTATCAGGGACGATAGGAAAATTAGGAACATGTATCCAGAGAGAACATATCTTTCAGCTTTGTCATGAATGCCATATTTTGTGTAATTATCGTACTTCATTTCAAGACTGGAAATCCTACCTTGAGCAACTATAAACAGGATACGAGTGAGAACAGACTTGCTCTCTAAGAGTAACATGTGTACAATACGGAAGAACATATTTTACTGAACATGTAAACAGGAATAGCGCCTACTCAATATCAGATCAGACTATTTTATGCTGCTTCTTTGTCTCCTAACAATACCACCTCATATATATAACTCCTAACTTATTTATTTGATAAAGGAGCACTGTGTAACTCCTAAGTCCTAACTTATTATATAATATAATAAGTTAGCTTAGGAGTTATCAGTTTACTCGAAATTATTAAATTATTGTAATGTCGAGTAAACTGATAACAAAATGATTATGTTCAATTTATTTCTAGTCACTGTCACTAAAAACATTTTCTCGAGCAATTTCAATTCTGATAAAATGACTTCTTGCTGATTTCTTTAATAGTTGTCTTGTAGTACTATTGGCTGTAGCTACTATGATGCACATTACAAAGCACGGAATACAATTCTAATCTGATCACCCATCTTTAAACTTTCAAGTTCGGTGTGTAATATTATATATTATATAATGTATATTCTGTATTTCCACGTGATCGTTTATAAAGCTATATTTCAGAGATAAAATCACCTCTTACTAAAAATAAAAACATTATGACATAATCGAAGTTGACTGAGCCTTTTTATCAAAAACAGGCAGTATTTATAATTTGTAATACGGTTGGTAGATAATTGCTAGATTAGATCACGATAACCATGGTTACAGTGGAGTCTGTAATACTCCACTGTACTTCAAAGTTCAAACAAAGAAAGTGATGAAATCTCAGAACTTTAGTATCACCAAATGCCTTATTGATACGTACATGTAGTTACAATAAACTTGGTACGCATCGTATAGTAGGTACCGTTTGCAGTACTCTCATTTCATAAGTAGACGGGTTACAGGTGTACCTGTGTAGACTGTAGGTATACAGTACAACTAATAAAACCAGATTTGATCAATTGATCTGCCGATCGTTGATTTTTGTTTTTTAATTCAAACATGCAAGACTTCATTCGAAATTTTAATAAATTTGTCTCGTGATTTACAAGATTATTTACAAAATAAAACCCGGTCCTCTAACAATGTATTAACATGTCAACTTATGAACAGAATTATTTATATTAACGCGTAATCTTAATAAATATTGATAGATAGAAGTTAAAAAGAACTCAACTTTTTCAACTTTCTATGAGTAGTCAGTCTGCACAGTGTAAATTATAATTTTTATCAATTTCTCCACCCACTAAAGCACTAAGTTATACGTGGGCTTGATGGCGAAAATAATAAAACGTAAAAATGATAAAATTTACATTTTCAAGTACTTACTCATCTAAATGGCGAAAATTATTTCAACACTTTCAAATTTTTTTCTACGGCCAAAATAGAAATCATTCCAGCAGTTAAATGAAAGACCATCCCCAGTTGCTATACACTGTACCTACTCAGCTACAATCACTACAGTTTCTATACATTGTGCTCCCTACTGTACCTACTCAGCTACAATCACTACAGTTTCTATACATTGTGCTCCCTACTGTACCTACTCAGCTACAATCACTACAGTTGCTATACATTGTGCTCCCTACTGTACCTACTCAGCTACAATCACTATGATACCGGACACATACAGTCTGTGTAAAGTAAAACAGTGAATATAATGTGGTATAATGATATAATATGATATAATGTGGTAGTACAGTGTACACGTGACACTGCACACGTGACATTATATGGCCAGATACAAGACAAGTGAAAGGTGTTGATTTATTGGTAGACAGTGCATGTGTAATACACTGTTTACACACTAGGCGGTTATTGTAGGTGTTCACCCCGGCCAGTGTCAATGACTTACTATGCTCTCTTGGATTGATGAGATTCAGCAATTTATCCTCAATTGGCAGCTAAGTTATAATATTATCTTGTCTGGCATTCCTCAGATTGGTATCCGGTTTCAGAGGCTAATTAATTTCAGGGTCTGGTCTTTATCTTGTGATTCTACTTGACCTTGAACGAAATAATAATCCGCATTCTACATACATTTAGCCTAGCGGATGTGATAAATTTCAAAAAAGTGTCAGAATGTATAAATGAAAGATTGAATAAAAAAGTTATTTTCCAAACCTTGCACACTCTCGCTCCGCCTGACACAGAAGGCTCCAGCTTGTGTTCCCTTGCCTGTTAATAGTTTCTCTGCTTCCCCTCGACTTACATGCCTCCAAAACCAGCTGAAACAAGACATGATAAGATTGTGAAGATTTCGTGGACTGTGAGCATTAGTGGCAATGAAAGTAAGCATGATTTATTAATGAAGATTAAAATATTCCATATCTGGTACATTTCTGCAATCTGCATGTAGGGTGTAGGCGTACCAAAAATGTGACACAACACATTGCATCAACACAATCAATAAACCAACTGAGCAAAACAATAAACCAATAAGTAAATATCAGGCAAATACAAAACATTCTGTTGCTAACCATGGCAAAGTAAACTTGACATAGTTTTTAGGGATGTATCCTTCTTGTCCGTGCAGTGTTGCTTTAAACCAGTTCTCATCATGAGCCGTGTCAGTTATCTAGGGGAGCACAATGTTACTATTATTACAATTAGTTACATTATAAATCTGTGTTAATAGTTATCAGTTAAAGGTACAGTTTCAGTACTTTAAACCACATCACTTTGAACCAAAGTTAGAATGATTTAACCAAAGCACTTTAAATCGAAGTTAGAATAATAAAAACCACTTACCAAAAGCAAAGTTCCGATCTGAAATGAAATTTCGTCGTCAGCTCTCCCGTCAAAATCAAATTCAGCAACTGCTTCCATCTATATTATAATTGGAAAGATTATGTCTGTATACATAGGACAGCCCATGTGCAAATTAGATGAAAAGCAAAAGGTTGCATAGCAACAAGGATGGAAAGCGCACATGCATCTGCAATGATTGTTGTAAAGACATTTTGATCGGTTGTGTGATTATTACGTGAATTAAATAGGTAATAATTATTTTAGTCTCTTGAGTCTTGACACCATTTTAGGGTTATATGGGTTCCTGCTAGTAATTATAATTCGAAAGAATCTTTTTGTCTGTCTGTATGTACGACCGCCCATGTGCAAATTAGGTAAAAAGCAGAAGGTGGGAGGGGGTTAACTACACTTTTTTACACTATTTTACACTGCACTTTTGCCTTTTTTGGTGTATGGTGTAGTAAAAAGTGAGGTAAAAAAGGTACACTTTTTTACACTATTTTACACTTTTTTACACTTTTTACATGTCTTTTAATTACACTTAACAAAATTATTTTCTAAAAATCTTCTTTTATCCTTTTATTTTCCAATCAGTCTTCACATAGTACATTTTCAAAGGTAAAACATACCTTTGGTGAGGAAAAAATATCGCTTTTTTTACACTTTTTAAGGCTTTTTTAGACTATTTTAGGCTATTTTACACTACACTTTTTTACACAACACTTTTGCCTTTTTATATGTATGGTGTAAAAAAGTATAGAAGACCCCCCCCCCCCCCCCCCCCATGCCAGAAGGTTGTTGAATGGACACTTGCACATGCAATGGTTGTTTAACGTTGTTTTTATCGGTTTTGTGATAATTACATTGTATTTAAAGTGTTTTACATTTGAATCGGCTGTATCTTCGGTTGGGATGGATATTTTTGTGTGTGAGTAAGACTTTATTTCAAAGAATACTACTAGCTACGGCAGTATCCAGATAGCCCAACCCCTGTTTGCGAATAGTTGTTTGCGAACAGGTGTTTGTGAACAGTTGTTTGCGAACACCTGTTCGTGAACAACTTATGACATGATGGTTACCAGATCATATGACTGCATAATAACTACACTGAATCAAGCAGGGTTCACATCATCGCAGGCACGGTTGGTTCACATTATGGCACGAAAATTTCAATCAGCGGTGTCAAGGCTTATTAAACGATTAAGCAACCTTACGAGATCAGTTCACATCATGCAATATATATAAAGAATAACTATTATCAGACTGCATCAATCATTTCTATCATCAACTTCTTCTTGAACAACAACTATGGTCGTGGGTCCATTAATTTCGTTTAGTGGACAGAAGAGTACCATCACTACCATGTCAGGAATTGGAATAATAATAATATAATAATGAATTAATGTTATTTTTATACAGCACCAAAAGGTTAAATAATTTAAATTTAACCCTTATGCTCAGCTGTAAATGATACTTAAGTTAACGAGAGTGTGCATCTTTGCCTGAAACTGTTCAGAAAACAGACTTTAAAACTGTAAATAAAATCGTGACTAAATAAGGCAGATGCACCTAACAAGCAGGCTTAGCAGGTTTTCTAACAGAGGACTTGAGGAAAGGATGATGACTGCAAGAAATATGCAATATTTAGACTACCCTTGGAGTGAAGTGCTTAAGTGTGTACCATATGTGTACAGATACACGAGTATTCCATAATACTTGCACTTATCTCCCACCCCAGTATAAAAACTGCAAGAAATCACAGTATGAAACTCATCAGCCTATCAAATGTAAAAATCAGGATAATAAAAATGAAATTCCCTAAAATATTAAAAATTCTATAAAAAGATAAAAATTCTATAGAAATTCTATAGACTCCAAATATACAAACAATCTGAATACTCCAATATACAATAAAAATTGATTGAAAGAGATTACTGCAGAACAGTAACTGACGATAAAAATTGTTGTTGTTGTTGTTGTTGATGATGGCAACTGATAATACTCCACCAAAAACAAACGACTTACATACCACATTTAAATCGTAATCATTTATTTCATTGAGCAATATACTACACTACAATTAATGGCAAATTTTGCTAGTCGTAACGAATTGCATCCAAGATACCGTACATACCATTCAATTTCATAACATTTCATGATTGACATGCAGTCATATGATCTGGTAACCAATCAACTATTCAGGAACACCTGTTCGCGAACAGGGGTCGGGCTATCTGGATACTGCCCTAGCTTCCTCCCTTACCTGTTACCACAGGCTTTCTACTTATATATAATGTAGAAGATAAAATCATCAATTTACGTGATACTTTGGGAATGGGTGGATTAAAGGGGTTGAATGTAACAGGCCTAACTGGAATTAGAGTAAAGATCGTACGCAATATGAGTATGGTGAACGTTATCTAAAATCATTTGTACAGTTACTGGAAGTGGAAAGATATAGAATTTGACAAACATGTTATTTTACCAGTTATTTGAAAAATTGAAAATTGAAAATTCATTCTAATTCATTTTCCAAATTTTTACAATGTAGATTGATAGTCGAGGGACGAGGCTAAATGTCAATTTTCAAACAATATGAGATGACTTGAAAACTTGTAAAAACTTGTAAACCCACAATACAAAACAATGGCCGATCAAAATATATGAAATATATTGAGTGTGATGAGCCTTATATTTTGGATCCTTTTTTATACTATCAACACTACTATATATACTATATAACAACTAATTTGAGGAAACGATGTAACAGAGTTATATAATTGATGTATTTAATGTTGCCATGGGGTGGCAAGTCCGATCCCCATACATTGTGGTCTGATAGTTTCATTGCGTCTTAATATAACTGATAACTTATTTTATTTACTTACTTTTGCTTTTGTTAGGTTTTGCGCGCTGCAACAGTATCATCAACTTTTTTGACCAGCGACCGCAAGAAAAAATATTTAACGAGTACCATACCATGACCACCCATTATTTGTCATTAAGCTTTTTCAAAATTTGTATTGCATTAAAGCTAAAGTTTTTTTTCCGGGTATACTGCTTCCAGTATTTTGATTGCAACTTGTGTCACTCTCAACAATCTTACTAATCGGTTGTTGTCATACGTTGTATGACCCGTGGCGCACGAGTGCGCGGCTCCCCCTGTATTGTAGAAACTCTATTTGTAGCGCGATGCACTACTGGGTCGCGCCGCGCATCAAATAACAAATAATTCTTCTCGCAACCACACGTATGCAGATTGGCGAGATGCGAAGGATTGACATCGTGAATCAAAAACTTTATAGTGAAACGACGATGGGGGTCACGACGTGGTACAAATCGGTCACTGGTCAAAAATTTGCAGTCAAAACCGCGAAATTTTGGTCAAGGTTGAGATGTTAATCCTTACCAAAGTCAAGGGGACGGCAAAAAAACTTTTTTTCAAAAATCTTCCAAAATCTCATTAAATTATATTTTGATGATTTTCTGTTTATTTAAAGCTTTCTTTGGGAAAAAATTAAATACCTCAATTGTGCCATCCTAAATGATTTTCTAAATTGGTCATTCAAGAAAAATTCAGTCAAGTGAAATTTGCAATTTGGGTTGCGGAAAGTTGAAATTTGAACCTGGTAAATACAAAATAGTTGTCATACGTTGTATGACCCACCGCGCACGAAGTGCGCGGCTCCCGATCCCCCTGTATCGTCGAAGACACCGTGGGGGTCACCACGTGATACAACTAGTACCTTGATGGCGACTTGTGTCACTCTCATCGACCTAACTGATTGGTCACTCGTCAAAAATCAGCAAAAACCGTTGTAGCGCGATGCACTACTTACTAAGTCGCGCCGCGCATCAAATAATTCTTCTTGCAACCACCTCTGCCTTCGGTAGATCGGCGAGATGCACCATACTGTGCCTCACCGAGCTGCGAAGGATTGACATCGTGAATAAAAAAACCGTAAAGTTTCGGTTATATTAAAAGGACGGCAAAAAAGCTTCTTTTCAAAAATCTTCAAAAATGTCTATTTATATTCTGATGATTGTCCGTTTATCTAGAAGAAAAGTACCTCAATCGTATCTAGTGCCATCCTCAGTGACCTTGTAAGATGGTCATTCAAGAAAACTTTAGTAAAAACAGTTATATTTGGGTCGCGGCTGTGGCGTAACGAAGGGCCCCGCGGGCAAAATCGTCGTTTGAATGTGGGACAATTTTGAAAAACTTAACTGAGGTACTAGAGCAAAACTGCCTATTTTACCGGCGTATCCTTCAAGATCACCTAATTTGTTTAATTTTAGGGAGGGGAACCAAAAGGGGAAGGGGCGCCAACAGGGGGTGCATCTTCGGCAGGGGGGGGGGGGGGGGGGGGGGGGGGTGGGGGCGTCAACAGGCAACGTTACGCCACTGGGTATACTGCTTCCAGTACCTTGATGGCGACTTGTGCACTATAATACTGACCTCACTGATTGGTCACTGGTCAAAAATTCAGTCAAAACCGCGAAATGTTGGTCAAGGGGACGGCAAAAAAGCTCCTCTTCAAAAAATCTCTTTTTATATTCTGATGATTTTCCGTTTTGTTAAGCTTTCTGTGGGAATAGAACTTTGAGTACCTCAATCGTATCTTGTGCTATCCTCAGTGACCTTATAAGATGGTCATTCAAAAAAAAATCGGTGAAAACAGTGAAATTTGGGTCATGAAAAGCTAAAATTTGAAAATGTCCTACTGGTAGGACATAAATTTTCATTGCATCAAAGTTTTCTCCGGATGTACTGCTTCCAGTACCTTGATGGTGACTTGTGTCACTCTAACCAACCTCACTGATTGGTTACTGGTCAAAAATTCAGTCAAGGCCGCGAAATTTTGGTCAAAGGGACAGCAGAAAAGCTTCTCTTCAAAAATCTTCCAAAATCTCTTTTTATATTTTGATGATTTTCCGTTTATCTAAACTTTGGGTATCTCAATCGTATCATGTGCCATCCTCAGTGAACTCATTAATTGGCCACAACTGGAATTTATACCCCAGGAATGGGGAATAGAACAAAATGGAAGTAGTTTGAACAGTTTTGAACACTTATCATGATCTCTTTTGCATGAATAGAAACTTCAAGTTTATTTTAAACCGTTTTTCACTTTTTGTATAAGGAATACCTCTGGTTTGTGTTACTTCATTTTAATTTCCATATCCGTAATTATTTTCTTCTCCAGTATCATGGCTCTTACGTCCTTGCTAGAAGCTGTAAGGAAGCTTGACACAGTCACCCAGCGTAAGATAGCTGTCATCGTTGGTGCTGCAGTTGGTGATGCTGCTTCGAGGCCACTCCACTGGGTATATGATAATACCGCTCTCCAATCTTACATCAAGAACACTTGGGACTCTCCTGAGTTTTTTCCAAAGAGCATGTCACCATTTTACACTCTTCCCACTGGGGAAACAAGCTGCTACTGGGATACAGCTGAATCAAGTTTGGATGCTCTTACTAATTTTAAAAGCTCTGCCTATAATTACAAAATGATCTGTGATGCTCTGGTTAAGAACTTTGGGCCTGGTAATCCTAACTACGATATGGAGGCCAGGCAAGACTACATGGCAAAGCGAAGACGAGGGGCAATAGATGGACCAGTCATAGGCAAATGGTTCCATGGGTCAATTGTGGAATTCTTAGACAACTATAAAAATGGAATGGGCTCGAAGCCATTTGGTGGTTCAAAGATAAAAGAAACTGATGGCTTCTGTGCAAACATACCTTTTGTTTGTAAATATTATGGCACTGAGGCTTTTGACGAGATTACCTTGGATGTGATTAAAACTTATTCAACCTGGCCCACAGCTGTTACACATGGAGTAGTAGCTTCAAAAATAGTGGGTCATCTTATTGAATCTGGATCTGAATACAACATCCTTGACATAAAATCTGAGATAGAATCAGAACACCCGGAGGTCTACCGCAGTATCAGTGATATTGAAGAGGTCATCAAAAATGGAATGGACCACACCCGCGCTGTGAACTACGTATTTGGGAGCCCATGTTACAACCCAGGTTCATTCCAAGGTGCGATCCACACTGTTCTTACTTCTAAATCTTACCCAGAGAGTATCAGAAAAACGATCCGAGCAGGAGGATGTAACTGCTCTAGGAGTGTGTTTGCTGGTGCAATGTCTGGTGCTATGTATGGTATTGATGGCATTCCAGTCGATTGGATGGAGAAAACTACTGGCATTGAAAGAATTTTGACCAAAGCCCTCAAAGTGTTCTCTTAAGTCGGTATTTTCACAGTGACCCTTATCAGTGAAAGATTTGTTGCATCAAAGCACATAACGGTGGTGTCTGCAGTTGCTGCTTGTAGGTATAATTTTGTGTACATTTTACCATCTGAAGAGTAACAGAATGTAGTTACTTTATTATAGTCAGTGACCCTTTTAAGTTATTTATCAATTTTGAAATTGAAATGTGTACCTAATTCTTGATGGATGTTATCAAATATTATTGCTTTTTTAAATAAATTATCCTGCATGCGATGCGAGAGGGTGATGTTTATTATTTTAGGGATGAAATATTTTGGGAAAACATGTTTTTTGAACGGTTCAATAATATTGTTTATTTTGATATTTTGAATATTGTTGAGAAATTCAATTTACAATTATTATTATTATCTTAATTATGAAAACCGTTTTTAGGGAAGAACGATTCTTTTATATTGTTTGAAGCTAATATTCAGTATATTGTCTTATTTTAAGATTTGAGCCTGCCGAAGTAACGCTAGTTATTCTTACTTGGGGTTATTATATTGTTGTAATATGAGAAGTCAAGATAAACTGTGAATGTAATTTGACGAGCCGTGAGCTAAAATAAGTTGGAAGTGGGAGATAGGGCAACACCAGATAACTTTGTGTTCATCATTTATTCTAAAACTTAGAAGTATTTGACAGTTTTTCCATTTTAAATCTAAGAAGTCCATAAACATGTCGAAAATGACTATGATCAATTAATCACCCCTCGACATTTTAAAATTATCTCAGTAATGTAACGTATAAATCTACTAATCAAATTATGTAAATAATATCTAAGATGATCAGATCGTGCAGATAACAATAAAATTAATTAAAACCTTGTTCACGACTGATAGGAGGAGATGACTGTTAATGAAGTGGATAGCTCAGTCTGGAAGATAGGTGATATTGAGGGTGATGGTAACAGCTGGACTCTCTCCTCTGATGTCAACATGCTTCACCTGCTACACACCTTCTCTGATAATCTCATGTCTAACCTCAACACTAGTAGCCGGGCTCTTGAGGAGCTAATTACTTTCTCAGAGGTATAATAGTGGTATGGATAATAGTTTCTGTACAGTGTACAACTACGAAAGTTTGGGATGGTTTTTAGAATATTTTACAGTTCACTGACATTTTACAGTTATTTTGCAGGAGGTTTCTACAAAAGTAAACAACACTTTCAATGAGTTCAACATGCTTTCCAACGCTCAGTTCATTGAGTCGGTAAGTTTACAAACGTAAATTTAGTTTTTGCATCGTAACATTATGTGTTAAAGAATAGCAAGCAGTGGCGTAACAAAGGGCGCCCAGGGGTCATCACAGGGAGTGGGGAATGGTAACGTTACGCCACTGATAGCAAGCAGTACTCTACATAAATTTAGAAACTAACAATACGACCATCCTTGTTGATCACGTGATGGGTAAATACTCCGGAGATAAATCCATTCCAAGTATTTACTGAATATAGTTTTGTTGTCATGATCGCTTTATTAAGTTTTCACTGCAACTTTAAGTTGATACAGTAATCGATGACTTATTCTCAGAGAGTTTACGAGGATGACGAAACAAATGAAGGAGGATCCGACATACTTCCAGATGTCGTAGCGGTGAGTTCAACTGTAACCATGGTTACGGTGACCATGGTAACCGTTACCGTGAATCTTATTTTGACTCATGATTGTGAAATATCCCGACGAAAAAAGTTTACAATACCTATCAAAAAGTTTTACACACGCTCCCTTAAGTGAACAATAAGAGGAAACCCTGGCTGCAAGTTGCAACCACTGTATTCTTGTTACAACTCTTGTTTTTCACAGGAAGACACATCAGATGTGATAGGAGCTAGAATTAAAACCAGTGTGGAGTACGGTCTTACTGTACTGGATGCAGCATACATTGTACATGGTTACTCGACCAACTCGCCTGATGACACCGGTTTGCTATCCGAAAATATTTTGCCACATTTGAAGTCATGTTATTACTATGCGTGTTTTATGTCAATCATACATGCCAAAGGATTACGGGATCAAAATATATTTGAAAAGCTTTAAGCTGCAGAGTTTAAGTAGCTAGCATGTTTTGTGACAGTTTGTGGCAATGAATTAGAATGTTGGACATACTAAACATGTCCGCCGCAATGAACAAAATCAGTGTACAGACGCGCAACACGCGCGTGAATGTAGATAGATCTTTGGAATTTAGGTCATATCACATGAACAAACATTAATTCTTCTTTATCAGATGTTTATTGTTTATGGGATTATATAAACACAAAAACAGAACTCATCAATGTTTACTGTTCACGTTATGCAGAACCTAAGTCCGGGCTTTCTAGTAACTCTTGAAATTTCAGTGGAAGAGGTTGAAGAAGAAGGAGAAATAGTGATCGAACCAAACGATCCCTACTTGCACCGGACACTGCCCTATCTGATAGGATCCTCAGAATATTGTACCGATGAGTCTGTTGGAATAACGCTACTCTACCAGTCTGATGAGGAATCGAACAAATCTGAAGATGAAGAAGAGGAAGAGGAGGAGGAGGAAGAAGAGGATGAAGATGAAGGAGAAACAGTGATCAAAGTTCGTTTAAAACACTTGCACATTATAAGCTATGACAGTTTCCAGATCCAAGTGATTCTAGCAGATTTTATCCATGCGCTTAGGATTATATGATATGTAGCTCAACTCCTTACTCTTTCAGACCGATAATCTGGATCTTGGTTCAGACGAAATGTCAGAAGAAGAATCAGAAGGAGAAGAACCCGCTCGCGTGCCCACTGCTGACGGATTGCCACGAAAGGGTCCGACACGGAATGTTGCTACCGAGGAATCCTCTGATGAGGAAATGTTCCCTGAAACTAAACCCACTCGGGCTAAAGTCTTCGGTAATCCTTATCTAACAGCATGTCGTCACATTTCATGAAATCTCTGAAATTGGAAGTATTTTAATTTCTGTTTAAATTAAAATCATTGGTAATGATAATTGTTTCCCTAGATTCTATCTTCGATAGTACTGACGATGAAGACTCGGAGGAGGATAAGAGCCCTCTTCCTGTCGCTAAACCCAGTCCCATCCCGGAAGTAACTCCCGGACCAGCAACAAGAGAAGAGAGAAGTCCTTCAGTTCTGTCTACCAGATCTAATAAAACACCTAAGGGAGTTCCAAAAGGAGCCATTTCAATGTTCGGAGGACGGACTGTATTCGAAGGAGGAGCTATTAAAGTTTTGGAAGATGAGGATTCTGATCAGGATGAAGCTGAAGCTCCTTCTGAGGAGAATGTCGCTGAAGCAAGGTACGTGAGAGTGGACAATGTAATTGACACCTTATTCTGCAAGTTTTCATAGGCCACGAGTTTATCTTTTGATTGGTCGGCGTCGACTGTAAGCCTTCCTTGCGGTGGCTTTCACAACGCGTCCCCATTCTCCAACTCCTGCTGCTAGAGAGAGAGACTCCCAAGTTATATACCATAATTATATTATACATAGATATCGACAACAGACTCCGAGAGTCTTGAAGTTCTGTTACCACCGCCCCTGGTGCAACCCCTTACGGGTTAACGATGACGGTCATGGCCTGCTACATGCAACTCGTAGGAGTATGCAATGTTCCTGTAACGTCATTGTAGACCACTCCTCTATCTTTGTTTTGAGTGTCCGATCCAAAACCAAATCCTAGGGTACACGAGACGTGGAAGCCTGTGAGCGTGTTAGAGTCTGTTAAGTGTTAGAGTCCTAGGGCTACACGAGACGTCGTAGCCTGTGAGCGTGTTAAATCCTAGGGTTACGCACGAGACATGGTAGCCTGTGAGCGTGTAGACCGCTCCTCTATCGTTGTTTTGAGTGTCCGATCCAAAACCAAATCCTAAGTACACGAGGCGTGGTAGCCTTTGGACGTGTAAAATCCTGGGGTTACACGAGACATGGTAGCCTGTGAGCGTGCAGTCCGCTCCTCTATCGTTGTTTTGAGTGTCCGATCCAAAACCAAATCCTAGGGTACACGAGACGTGGAAGCCTGTGAGCGTGTTAGAGTCTGTTAAGTGTTAGAGTCCTAGGGTTATACGAGACGTGGTAGCCTGTGAGCGTGTTAAATCCTAAGATTACACGAGACCGGGTAGCCTGTGAGCGTGTTAATTCCTGGGGTTACACGAGACGTGGTAGTCTTTGAGCGTGTAGACCGCTCCTCTATCGTTGTTTTGAGTGTCCGATCCAAAACCAATTACTGGGGTTACACGAGACATGGTAGCCTGTGAACGTGTCAAATCCTGGGGTTACACGAGACATGGTAGCCTGTGAGCGTGTAGACCGCTCCTCTATCGTTGTTTTCAGTGTCCGATCCAAAACCAATCCTGGGGTACACGAGGCGTGAAAGCCTGTGAGCGTGTTAGAGTCTGTTAAGTGTTAGAGTCCTAGGGTTACACGAGACGTGGTAGCCTGTGAGCGTGTTTAAATCCTAAGGTTACACGAGACATGGTAGCCTGTGAACGTGTCAAATCCTGGGGTTACACGAGACATGGTAGCCTGTGAGCGTGTAGACCGCTCCTCTATCGTTGTTTTCAGTGTCTGATCCAAAACCAAATCCTGGGGTTACACGTCATGTGGGGGCCTGTGAGCGTGTTAGTTTCCTGCGGAAGGTGTTATTTGCCTGTGGGAAAAGCGGTTATGCTGCGGTTCTAAGGTTAGTAGAGGCTATTAGAGCCTTTCCTTGTTGTAGAGATGGCTAGTCCCTTCCTTTGCATAGGTTAGAAACACCCATGCACCTCCCGTTCGAGCCACCCACCCCACACCGCCATGGAGGTTCGGCGAGGTTTTTGCCACGAGTTTATAAGATCGTATCTTTAATCACTGCAATATACTTTTCACTTCAGGCGTCCTGCAGCTGGAACTGCAAATGTAAAGCAAGCTAAAAATCTCGGCTCTTTATTTAATGATTCTGATGATAGTGATTCTGATGACTTGTTCGCTACAAAGGTACTTTTTTGTTGACGTAACTAAGAGGAACTTTATTATTTCCAAGTTTAATTTAAAAGTTATTGGTATACAATAATAATAGTTACAATATTAACAGAGCCAATTTATTTTCAGAACATACAAGAAGAAAAAGAAGAAACTTCCGTCGTTGCCTCTAAAAGTGAAAAGAAAGCATCAGTTTCTACCGCAAAGAAGCAGCCTGCCTCTAAATCTTTCGCTGCCAAATCGAGTTCCTTGTTCGATTTCAGCGATGAAGAAGAAGAGGAGGAAGAGGTGGTTAAGACAACCAAGAAAACACAAGCTGTGTCCAAACCTCAGCAAAGCAAGTCAAAAGTTGCTGACTTCAATTTGTTTGATTCTAACGAGAGTGATGAAGATATTCTTTCTGTTCCAGATAATAAGAAAAAAGTACTGCCCCAACCTTCTGTGGCTAAACCTTTACAAAAGAGTGGAGGAAAGGGTTTGTTCGACTCGTCCGACGACGAAGACACGGATGGAGGTCTATTTGGAACCATCAAAGTTCTGCCGACTCCGACTAAGAAGGTAGCTGAAGTCGAGAAAGATTCTGCTAACACAGCCAGTAAGAGTGGAGAGGCTAGTGTGAAGAAAGATAAAGCTAAGAAAGTAGATAGCTTTGACCGGTTGTTTGGTTCCAGCGATGATGAAAGTAGTGGAGTTGATAAGAGCTCTCCGCCTTCAGCCAAGCAGGCGAAGACTGTTCCTAATCCTGATAAATCTAGTAGCGAAGATTCGAAAAATAATCTAAAACCACCTGTTAATAAAACAACGGCTCGGGCTGAAAAATTCGATGATCTGTTTGGTGACAGCGATGATGAAGATGACATGTCTTTTGGCATTACCTCGTCTCCCAAGAAAGTGGTTAAGGATGTTGCAGTTTCTGAAAAGAAAGAAGATATAGTCGCAAAGGATCAAGCACAGAAATCTCCAGCAAAAACAAAAGCTCAAGCTGGAAAGTTTGATGACCTTTTCGGTGACACTGATGATGAGAGTGAAGATATTTTCTCATCTCAAGAACCGAAAACCGCTGATAAACCGACTAACTCGGTCGTCAAGCCGGATTCTACATCTCACAGTGACACAGTTGAAGACGCTAGTGAGCCTTCCATAGAAGAGGCTCCACTGGAAAACGTCCGTAAAACGAGGGAGACTAAAGTCATTAAAGCTCCTGTTGATAAGATAAAGGCTCGAGCAGCTAGATTTGATGATCTCTTCGGTGATAGTGATGAGGATGATAATGATGAGGATATCTTTTCGACTCCAGACAAAGTGGTCCCAAAAACTGTGAGCAAGAAAGTTGAGGCGCCTGTAGAACATAAAACATCTCATAAAGTTGAAGCAATCCCCAAAGACCCTTCTCCAAAAGAAAAAGCACAGACTATCAAAGATAATACTGAGAAACCAGCTCCCCCTAATAAACTACAGGCACGAGCTGCAAAGTTCGATGACCTGTTTGGTGACAGCGATGAAGACGATGGTGACATGTTCTCTTCTAAACCGATCAAGCCCCCACAAAATACAGACAACCTTCAGAGTGCAGTCTCCTTTCCTGAGACTACTCCTTTCCCAACTCCTGACCCAGAAACTTTAAAGCAGAAAACAGAAAATGTTATTGACGCTTCGGTGGATAAGATTAAAACTAGAGCTGTTAAATTTGATGATCTGTTTGGAGATAGCGACGAGGAAGATATTTTCTCAACCCAGGACACTGTCAAGCCCGTAGAGACAAATGGTAATATTGCTGTGACTGATGATAAAGTTTCTAAAGCTCAGTCACCGGATAAGGTGTCCTCCGATCTAGACCTTGGATCTAGTTCTCAAGAGGCGAAGATGGCTCCAAAGTCTAACATCGCAAAACTTCAGAATAACTTGAATTTTAATCCCGCAATGCTGATGGGAGGCCCACGTCCAAAGAAGAAAAATGAAGCTGTAAATGTTGAAGACACAGAAAAAAACAAGGATGTTAATGTGAATGAGATTCCTGATAATAAACTAAAAGCAAAAGCTGCTAAGTTTGATGATCTTTTTGGTGACAGTGATGAAGAAGACATATTCTCTACTCAGGAAAAAGAACTTCCGAAGACCACTGAAAAACCTCGTGGCCCTGATCTTGTCGCTGAGCCAGCTCCGAAGCTAAAAAATGAGAAGACACAAGGCACTGATGATGTTAAATCCCTGGCCAAAGAAGTTGAAGCACGAGCTGCCAAGTTTGACGATCTATTTGGTGACAGCGACGATGAGGATGGGGATATTTTCTCAAGTCGAGAGAAGCCAAGCTCCCAGTCTGTTTTATCTGACGAACAAATACCACGGGTTGAACCACAGACTGATCCCTCGACTGAAGCAGACTCCGGTCCTAGAACTCCAAAAACAAAGGCTGTGCCGAACTCAAACATTGCCAAACTTCAAAATAACCTTAAGTTTAACCCTGCTATGTTAATGGGGGGCTCAAGACCACCGGTGTCCAAACAGACAGAAAAATCAGCACCCTCAGAAAGGTAAATTTCCCGCTTCAGGCATTTTGTAGTCCTCTTTCTTCGTCATTATATTCGCCTGTGAAGAAGTCGTCTTGTATTTCCTCTGTCCTAGGCTCAATCAATCAACGTGATCATATGACTATCTGCTTCTTTGGTAGCTTGGAAAGTATTTGTGTATCCACATTTAAAATCTTGGTAACAATACCTACTCTCAGCGTACCAGAGGAGAAACATATTGGAGACCAAGAAACTGTGAATAGTGAAACTCAAGCCCCGAAAGTATTATCATCAATTACCAAAGTAAGCCCGCTGTGACTAAGACCTGGTGGAATCGTTTTCTATTTTACAGCGTGGATACTATTCATTGAATTAATGTTTGTCTTGTTTACGTCTCATCTGATATGACCGTAGCCCGTAACACTTGTTTATTTAAGGGTCGTATAAAACGAGGTGGGAGAAGACCACCCAGACGTGCTGTAAATAAGACTGATGTATCTGCTGCACCCCAGCCATCACCATCACCTGATAGTGAGCCATCACCCGTTACTGATAGTCAGCCATCACCAGCTAATGCTAGCCTACCTTGTGTACCTTCTCCTAAATTAGACGATACAAAATCCAGCAAAGATTTTCAAAAACCGTGAGTTACAGAGCATATAGCAATTGAATGCACATTTTCCTCTACCCCTTTTTTTAGTATTTCTTAACTCCCACCTCTCCCGACACTACCATACCCTCCTCTACTACTATACCCCCAATACACTACTTTCAGTGCCAATTCGTTATGTTGAGCCGAACATAATATGGTAATTCATAACAACTGATGGATACGTTAGTAGTCCAGAGGCAACATATAAGTGTGGCAGGTGCAGACTGCGGATTCGCACTATTTTTATGAAGCTTTTAAACCGGACTGTAACTGGATATTAAAGCCGAAACCGAATTCAGCCGAAAATCCCGCTTTCCCCTCCTGATTAACCGAAGGAGGGGAAAGAATCTTGCCGCCAAATCATAGCGATATTTTCTAAATATAAGCTATTTTTGATGAAATAGAACAGCCGAGCAGCAATTCGTGCAAAATTAAAACCAATGATTCCATTTTGAGAATCCAGATGATATGATTTTGGGTAAAAGGACAGATTAGATAAACATTGCAATGATTCCAACGCAAGGATTGTACCCTTACAAGTCACAGCTTAAGGAGAATCACATGATGTGATTCTTTACTAAGTAAAGTTTTATTATATAATATGGCATTTTGTTGCAGACGTAAAAGGTCTGAGTGGCAATGATGGTATTTGGCAGTTTCTATTATTTCATGACCTTTGCGGTGCGTTGTTCCTCAAACCAGCTAGATTATATAATTTCAAAAATTACAGAAAAAATAAAATCATTCAAGCAACAATAAATTAGAGATAAATCTCACATATCAAAGAGAATTCTTCAGTAAGTTGTGAAACTGCAACTAAATCACTACCACTCAGGGGAAGATAATGGCTTCCAGGTTTCCATCATCACAATTATGTGCACGGCCGCCAGGTGTCTAGGTACCTTGGGCGGCCGTGCACAGATAAACTATATATTTCGTGCAGCGACATTACAGTTTAACAGGCTAGGATATGCCGAATGAGGCCAAAAAGTTGCCCCCCTCCCCGTGACACGTGACAATCACACTTTCAAATGCCCAAAATCCAGTCTCATCGCACTTTCTCAGCAATCTTGATAGGGGGTCACAGCTTAAGGAAAATCACATCATCATATATCTATATGCTGCGAGATAACTTTGAGTGACAGGATGGATTACTGAGGGGCACTGTGTTAAGGTGATTTAAGTGGGTCTCAATCCCCACCGACTATTCTTCTTTGTGTCATGCTTATGTTCCTGAATACTTGCTTCATCATCTCCTTTTTATAACAATCACGGTGTCTTTATTGACTAGAAGCACATTATACCATTATCAGACTGTCAAAATAATCATATCTCTTAGTCTTAATATTTGCTTTTTTGTTGTTAGGCCTAGTAGGGATTGGTGAGGTTATCAGAAGAATTGTTGGCAAATAGGGAGCATTTATATTTTCATAAATTACGTCAGCAACTTTTTTAGCCATTTTTGAAGACGTCAGGTAGGCCCAGACTCGCCGCACTATTCGCTAAATTTTGCCGCACTTAAATGTTGCCTCTTTATTCCACCAGCATTTGTTGAAACAATTGTCTACTTCTAGTCGTAACCACCTGGTAAAATCCTGGATTAGCCGAATAGCTCCAACGCATCCAAAGACAAAAGAACCCCTCCCTTGAAGTGCTATGATCTCGGGATAACTTGCTTTAGTTCACCTTTAGTAACTCTGCCTCACTCCTTCTACTAATCAGTGTGTCATCAGCCTGTCGCCAATGATTGCTCATAAATCAAAGAAAGCTCATTTTGTAGAATAGCTTTGCTTTTAGCAAACCATTGAACATGGGTTGTAAGCTTATTAGACGCTAAAAGTTTGTTCGACAGCTTTACTCGTAATCCGGAAATTCATTGTTCACCAAATTGAAGGAAGGAAATACCACAATACCGTTCAAATTGGCTAAAGTTAGCGACATTTGTAATGCACAGATTTCCTGTCTACAGAAGCAGGAGGTGCAACATGGAGACAGACATGCTCTTCTATTTTCATACAATAGAACATATTATTCCGTAGTGGGTACTATTCATGATCGGTCTACTTAAAGCGTTAAGCGGCTGGAAATCACTCATTTCTACTGTTCTTGTTGGATGACTGGTCTAATGTCAACAGCAATGAAATCGTTCACATATTAGCTCGATTTTGGCCATTTTAGACCCGTTCCCCTACCCGAAATGACTTTTACACATAGCTATTATGCAGTGATTATGCCTGCGTAAGTATTTTCAAACCGTCTCTCTCTCATATAATTATAACTAAGCGTTAAATATTGTGAGCCATCTAATATTTCAAAGGAGTTAATTTCCGTGTATCGTTTGGACTTTTGCAATATGTTTATGCTTTTCGTTTAGAGGACCTCAGTGTTGAAATTAGTGCCGTGAAAATAATGTCCGAAAAAGTAGACGAACTCTATGTGATTGTTCATTTTAAAACCAAATATCCTTAGTAAAAGGTTTAAAATAACATTCAAGAAATCGATTTAATTAGTTAATAAAAGACAACCTTATGTGACAGGGATGAAAAGGGTGAACTATTTGTTGATAACGTTGTCATTGTTGACTGCTATTTGCCACACTACTGGTAATGATGGAAAAACGAACACTGCTCCCCTGTCAAGCACAACTGAAGTTTTTAACGACCCTATAATCCTGTCAGACTTGAACAACGACCCTATAACCCTGTCAGACTTGAACAACGACCCTATAACCCTGTCAGGCTTGAACAACGACCCTATAACCCTGTCAGACTTGAACAACGACCCTATAACCCTGTCAGACTTGAACAAAGACTCTATAACCCTGTCAGACTTGAACAAAACAGGCAACTTCCTGCTGTCAGTCTCTGTCATCTCCATCCTTTTCAATGGGCTTCTGATAGGACTACTCTGCAAGAACTGGGGACAAATCAGCAACTCTCTCTACTACAACCTATCTCTATTCTGTCTACTGTTGACAAGTTCTGACCTGGCTCTCTCCTTACTCCTTGGAGCACCAGTAGGTATCAGACTAACATTTGAGGAGCAGCTCCGGAACAACAAATCCATGGTCTACTACTCGGAGACTATAGGGTTCCTGCTCTTCGAGTATTTGTACATGCTTCGGGTGATAACAGTAGCTGTGATCTCCGCGGATAGGTGTTTCCACATCCTCCGTCCTCTGAAGTACCTGATGATAGCCACCAAGTGGAGAGTAAAAGCTACTTGTGAGATTATTGTCATTCTGCCTCTACTCAGGATCGCTCCAATGATTCAGGTTATACGGATGTACAAAGAAGCCACAATATATTGCAGACAATACCAGGACTCTGAGTCTGACTTCCTTCATGGCACTCCACTGGATTGCTTCTTGGTTACGCCAAGTGAGATTAGCACATATAAAACAGCAGATGAAGTTATTACGGGTGCTATGGTTGGCGCTTTCTGGGGCATCGCACTGGTCTCTAACATAACCATCTTAGTGGTGGTTTTCCAGTTTGACAGGACTTTCACGGGGAACCGAACCCGAAGACAAGTCCGTATGTTTGAGACAAAATTAAAACTGATGAAAAGTGGCCTCGCCGTGTTGGTCATCTCATCATTCTTTGCTCTCACCAATTTCCCTCTTTCGTATTCGTGGGCCGCTCATATAATCCACAAAGAATGGAATTATACGCAGCATTTCTACCTAACCCTCCTATCTTTTCTCTCCCTCTTCTTTCATCCCTGGCTCTACTGTTTGAGGATGAAGAGTATTAAAAGCCTGATATATGGACTAAAGAGAAAGGTCCAGATTGTCATCTCATTTCCTAGCTCATCTGCTACAGGGAATGTGATAAGGGCGAATGTGGCTACTTCAGCCATTCAATATGAATAACTCAATAAGACAGAAAGGTCTCTCCTGTTTTGTGAGTTAGCTTTTAAAATTTTCTTTTTATCTTGATTTGTTGCCAGCTTGAATATTTCATAGTTTTATGAAGTGTTGTAATGTAATACTTTGATTTCAAAATGTACATCCAAAGGGAATGAATGTTACACCTTTCTTTTAGAGTCAAATAATAATAAAATAATTCATTCAATAATTGAAAAGTTTAAGGAAGAATATAATATAAGAATTCTTTGAGTAACTTAAGGAATCGAATGTAGAATGTGACATAAAATTAGCCATTCGTTGCAAATTTAAAAACATCTTGACTTTTTTGGTACATGTACCAAAAAAGTATATACATACATGTATACAAGTATACACCTGTACAGCATAGATTTTGATGTACCATATTATATTGTTGATTCATCTGGTGTGTGTTCAATTAGTGTTCAATTATCCTGCATATGTCTCGACACTCTTTCAATTCCTCTAAGAATATATCTGTATGTCTACAATCATTTGGTTTATAATTAAACATAATTACTGTAGAGTACACCCTAGCCCTGGAGATAGCAGTGTAAAGAAATGGAAGAGCGACACTGTAGTCAATATTTTCATCTTGTCTCTCGCATCTGTAAACGAAAATAGAGGCTGGCCACTCTGCTGACATACAGTTTTGTGTAGCGATCACGTCTATCGTGTCTTGGGTGGAATTCCATCTCTCCACTACAGGGCAAATGGCTTTTAGTGTAAATTTCATGGATTTGATGGGATCTTCAGTCAAATGGAATAGCACTGAGATATCCTTGTTTTCAAGGCAAGGGTCAGATTCCTTCAATTTCTCAAGTTCTTTGGTCAGAAAATATTCCATTGCGACTGCTGGTCTAGGATCCCTCAGTAGATAGATGATAGGTTTAGGACCCCGAAGAATATGTCCACTCTTTTGTTGCAGCGAATTTACTGGAAGGAATTTCCCTTTAGATGTTTCTCTGATTTTCGATAATACGGCCGAAATTTCGTACGTGTTTCTTAAAACCACTGTTAAATTCTCTGAGTTCACGAAACATTTTCTGAATTCATCCCTGACTGCATTAAATTGGCTATTAATGAGATCAATATAAAGATC